GCGCAGACCCCCTCCCGGCCACCTTCACCTGCGGCCCACCAGGCCGCCCAGGCCGCTTACTCGTCGTCCCCTCCGCACAGCTTGAGCAGCGCCTTCTTGTACTCGCCAGAGGTGTCGTTCTGGGGAGAGAGAAGGGAAGGACACTTCAGCCGGCTCTGGCTCTCGGGCAAGGCGGCAGGGCCTGCAGCGCCCCAGACAGCAGAGCGCTGCGCAGTCACCCCCAGCGGGCCTGGCTGTGGCTGCTGGAGTGGAGACCTCCAGACTGGTGTGCGGGTCACTACTGAAAGGCGGCCGTCTCTGTAGGGAAGGGGAAGGGAGGAGGGAAGGAAGCCTGGTTTGTATTCGCCAGTTCCTTGGGTGTAAGCGCTTCCAACAACGACGGTTCAGGTGCTGCTGTCCCTTCCAGTGCCCAGTGTGCTACTGCCAGTGTCATGTTTTTCCACAGAACCAGGGTACTGCGAAGAATGCCCCGGAGAGCCAGCTCTCAAATACGTATTTGATAGACGCATACATCCTTGTAGGTGGCGTATTCTCTCTTAGGGTTTCTTGATTTAAAAAAGTAAAGGCTGTGAGAAGGTCTGAGGTGAAGACCCTGGTTTCGCTTTGCTTAGTTTGTTTCAAACTTATTTCTCCTTGGAGCAGGTGCATATAACACTATCAAAATCCCTCCACAGAAGCACATTTTGGCAACAAACTGGATCCTGTCATCCTCACAGAACTTGCTTCTACACCTGCCTCCTGACAAAGCCCCGGGCCTGGACAGCCCAAGACACCACTGATCACGGCCTCCATGGCTGTCCTTCTTCCAGGGGACTCTCACTGCCTTGGGACAGAGTTCTCACGTCCGGTCCTCGCTGGGCCAGCACGCGACCACTGAGCAACAGCCCCGCCCCCACCCGTCCACCTTTTCAGCCTCATCTCTTGCCAGCTCCGACACCTGAGTGTCCTGCTGATGCCACCAGGCAAGGGCTCCTGGGATGCCCAGGAGACTCTCAGCTTCCGCGGTGTTATGGCTTGGGTCTGGGTGTACCCCAAAGCCTCATGTGGTCAGAGGTGGTTGAACCTAGTGTGTGAAGCTGGGATTGAGGGTGTGTGGTTACTAAACCACTGCACTGTTTGGTTCGGCACCACCCTAATCCCAGTAGTGTGATCAGGTAAAAGGGGCAGAAAGACACTGCTAAGTGTCTCTTGTTGCTTTTGCAACTAGAGTGGGTGCCATGAACTGTTTCTCTGGGACACTACTCTGCCATGTGCCACCCCACCTTGGAGCCAGAGCATTATGGACTGAAACCTCTACGAACTGAGCCAAACAAACCTGTCCCCTTCAACTTTGGTGTTGCGTATTTTGTTTCAGCCAAGACACCTGGATACCGCCCTCTCCCGGAAGTGGTTCCCATCCTGTCGTCCCTGCCCACGCAGTCAGGGCTGCTGACCTTGATCATGCTGTACAGAGACTTCTCGTACTTGGTGCGGAAAATCTCCCGAATGTCAAGCATGTCCAGCTCACTGCGGGTGACCATGATGCGGATCAGGGTGTTGTCCCTCGTCCCCAGACCCTAGAGGACAAGCAGGAGCCTTGGAGGGAGGAGAGTGGAGCGCTCACAGCCTCCAGATTAGGTAGAAACACTACTTCATAATAAGAAATGAAAATAAGGAACACAAAAGGCAAACACTTATATTCCCTTTGAAGTTTCCCGGGTACCCCACTTGCTTTTATAAGCCCTGTCTTCCGTTTCCCACCTCACGTTCCTCCCTGGCTTCCCTCCTCGCTTTACCAGCGCTTTGTGACTCTCTGGAGCACAAGCAGAGGCACAGGTTTTGGGACTTTGCAAACACAAGACATGGGCGTGTTGCCTGTTCTCCTACTGCAGACAATCCCACCAGGAAATCTTAGGAGGCAAACATTTCTAGGGGTGAGCTGCCGGCCTCGCTGTGGCTCAGAGAGGTCTGATGGTCCACTTGCCAAGCAGGGCCAGGAGGGCCAGAGCTCTGGGCCGAGGGCCTCCAGCAGCCAACAGATGAGTTCATTCACTCTGGTGTACCATGGAAATACCACCGTTTCTTCGTGCGGCAGGTGTGCAAAAACCCAGGAAGCACCATTCTCAGAAACATCCTGGGCAGGATGGCCAGCTCGGAAGTGTGAGCGTCAGGAGTCCCCACAGATGATGCCCAAGGGTTTCCAAGTGGCCTTGCCTGTCCACTGTGTGTACACATTGTGCTTAGTTCCCATTCTTTTGAAAGTGTGGGCTGCCAACCTATTTGGCTGGTTAGGCTGGTGCGGACTGCTACCAGGCCCACGATCAGGGGGGACATTTGACCAAGCAGCACCACGCATGGGAGCTCACCGAGGACAGACACCCACCCCGGAGCAGTCCTGTGGACAGTCCCTGAAAGGCTCTCTGTGCCCGGGGGACAGCAAGGACCTGTCTAAGAGTTCAACAGTCCCAGGGGTGAAGAGCCCCGCCCTCCGGTCCCTCCACACCACCCCCACGCACCTTCATGGCCTTGAAGAGCCGCTCAGCGAAGTACTCAGGGGTGCTCCGCACGCATTTCACTGGGGGGACAGGGAGAGGGGCAGTGACTCCCGCTGTCCTGGGAGGCTGAAGGCATGCCCTGGTCCTACTTGGTTCAAAAGCTAGAAGAACCCCAGCCTCCTGACAGTGCTCAGCCCTGGAGCACCTGAGGTCTACTTGCTTTTATCACAGACTTTGGGGATAAGGACATCGGGAAGTGGGCCTGTTAGAATCCAGACAGGCTGTCCCGGAGGACCACTTCATCTATCAGGAGGCAAGGACTTTCAGAGAACTGGGCCAGGTCGGGGGAATCCAGGGCGGAGGTGGGAAAGGTTTTTCTCTACATTCTGCTACACCAGAAAGCACTGGCAATGAATCGCTTTGGATCTTGCTGGCTGAGTGGTGCAAGGGAACAGTGCTGAGCAGGAAGCTGAGGCGTGGGCTGTAGCTCTGCCCGAAAAATACAAACATACAAACTACTGCCCACGCGACCACACAGAACCTGGGAATGTCAGTTTTGCAAAGCACGTGAGTCAGGAAGCCTGTTCTTCTTGCCCCCACCACCACCCATTTAGCAGAGGAGGAAGCTGAGGCCCAGCCAGGCTACGTGACCTGCCCCACGGACAATAGCAAATTTGGGAGCATTGCTGGGCTTGAATCTGACTCCACACTGACTAGTCAGCTCCTCGGATTCATCTCACTGAGAGTACCTCGCTTCAGTTCTGTCTTCTGTGAAGTAGACAGCAGGCCCCACTCCTGGTGTGTGTGTGTGTGTGTGCACACGCGTGTCTGTGTGTGTTAATGGTACTGGGGATGGAACCCAGGATGTGTGTGTGTGCACACGCGTGTCTGTGTGTGTTAATGGTACTGGGGATGGAACCCAGGTCCTTGCGCATGCTAGGCAAGTGCTCTACCACTGAGCTATTTCCAGAGCCCTTTTCATTTATTTTCTGGACGGGTCTCGCTCAGCTGCCCGGGCTGGCCTGAAGTTTGCAATGTTCCCGCCTCAGCCTCTGCAGTAGCTTGATTTATAGGTTGTGACACCACACCCAGCTTCCGGCATCTGCCAGGCGCCGTAGCTCCTCCATGCCAGCCTCCCACCGTCCTTACTGCCTCTCCAAGCCAGTGCTCTCCCTCCCCACCACGCTGGAGAAGGGGTGGGGAGAAGGCAGTGCCCAGGGCTCAGCTTCCTTCCCACGCCCGGCTAGACCTTTAATTCACAGCCCATTTGGCTTTCTCTTTCCCGACTCCTTCCCTTCCTTGCTCCCCCTGTGCCCAGGCTGGGGTCTCAGGACCCGGGGAGCTGCTGACGTACCCACGGCCAGCATCAGCTTCTCAAAGTCCCCGGACAGCTCCCCCCGGATGCTGGCTTCGATTGGCTTCCCTGTGGTCTTCAGGTACTCATCAAACACTGAGTCACACGAGAGACAGGACGTCAGTCAGCGCCGAAACAGCGAGAGGAGAGGGACCCCCAAAGGGGAGGGTGAGGCGGCCGGGACCGGACCACCAACGGGAAATGGGGCCTGGTGCTTTGGTGGCGGCGGCTGGGGGTCACACACACTGGCAGCACTGTGTGGTCCTGCTGTGTGCACTGGGGAGCAACTCTGCACCCAGTTCACCAGCGGGGAGACAGGCCCGGCACTGAGGCAGAAGGATGGAGCGTCTGTGAATGGCTCTGGTGTAATAAAAGCACTGTCTACTAAAACTGGGGGGGTGTGTGGGCTAGAGGTGGAGTAGCTACGATGCTCCACCAGTAACGGGAAAGGAGAAGGGACTCCTGGTACAACCCCAAGAAAGTGGCCACAGGCCTCTGGTTCTCACCCAGTCGGAGATGCTGCTTGCTGCGATTTCCCAAGATGTAAATGAACTGTGCCTCATCTGTTCCCCATTTTAGTTCCCCTGCTTCGTACAGGTCCTAAAGGGGAAGAATTGCAACTTGACTGAAAGAAGAGATTCCTGAAGACAGGACATGCTAATCAAGCCTCTAGAACTGCTGCCCAACCCCTTCACAAGCAGCAGCTTGGTAGCCTCCGGGCCTTTGCATATACTGATCCATCTTCTTTCTTCCCTTACCCTCCCTTTCCTTCCTTTTTCTGGGGAAGCCCCTACTCAATCTTCACGGCCCCGATTAAATGTCCCATTTTCTCTCAAATGTCCCAGGCTGAGATCTTTTCCCCTCCTTCCCTCTCAAGATTCTAATGCTTCTTTATTGCTTTCGCCTCCTTTATGCTACAGTGATTCCTCCCTGTCTGTCTCCCGTTCTTGCTGGGCTGTGCAAACACAGGAAATATGTCTCTGAGTTCTTTTTAGTCACAGTGCTCCACACTGCTTTGGCCACAGGTGTGCAGAATACCTAGCTCGTAAGGCACACTGACAGAGAAGGAGTTTGTGCTGCTAAAATACGCCTGACTCTTCCCCAGTGCTTCTCAGGGTACCCAGCAGGTAGTGAGCATTTACTTTTAAAAAACATACAGTAACTGGAATGGATAAATAAACCAGGCTCCAAAATACATCTCGCCAACTTTTTATGTCCTGTACCGTTGAAAGAATTTAAACTGTTTTCTTCAACAAAGCCCTGTACAAACGCTGGCTGGGCCCAGGGTAGTTCTGTGTCTGACACAAACGAGGTCACCGCAGCCTTCCCAGGCCCCACTGCTGCCCTTTCTTGAGGCTTCTCCACTGCACCCTGGGGACCTCCCAGGCGCCCATTTACCTGCACGTCCTGTTGTACCAAGTCCTCGCTCACCACATCGTCCTCCTCCCTGGTTCCCTGCACAGAGAGAGAGAATAAGTGTTTCAAACACCACGGGGCTGGGAGGAAGGCCCGACAGCAGCAGTGCAGGCTGGAGAGGCGGCAGAGACCCGGGGGCTCTGGGAGTGCCGGAGAGGTGACAGGGCCGGGAGGACCCCTCAGGTGCCAGTGGACCAAGGCTGCAGGGTCGCACGTCCCCCTTCCAGTCCTCCCTCCCTCTCTCCCCTGGGGCTAGGATCCGACACGGGGGTGCTGGGGATAACCAAGGTTCTTCCCAGAGCCTGATCCTGGAAAGCAATGGGAGCCTTCTACCATCTGAGCTTGGGATGGCCCTGCCACAGGCCCCTGACACCACAGGGCCCACACCCTAACGACGTCAAGAGAGCCAGAGAGGCATAAGACAGGTGGTGGGGTGGAGTGGGTGGTGAGGAAGGCACAGTACAGAAAGGCCTAGCACCAGTGTGGCTCTCCCAGGCCACCCACCAGAGAGCAGGGAGCAGGGGTCTCACACCCCGCCTGTGCTGTGGGAGCTAGCGCCCAGGAGGGGCCAAGGGCCTGGCATGAACCTACCTGCAGCAGGACCACGAGCATCTTCTGGAAGTGGCCAGAGGTATCTCCGATGACGTCAGACTCCAGGTCCTGCTCGTAAGCTGTGGGAAGGAAAGCAAGCTCAGGGCTCCTCGGGACCCAAGACAAAGGCTCCCTGCTGCCCGCTATGTGCCTGGTAGATGGCAGAGATCCCAACACCCAGTCTACGTGACCGCCAGGGCGAGACCCTGCAGCCCATGCACAGCCGCTGGTTCCCAGATGTGGCGGAGTGGAATCTCCCTACTGCTCCTGTCCCCACACCATGTCCGCAGAACACCACCTTCTGGGATCACTGCGCCCCGCTGCCTTGGACTCCAAATAACACACCATCTCTCTCTGCCGTCAAGCCCTTGTGTGATCCTGCTCTGCCCTCTACCTCTCTAATCTTGTCTTGGCTACCAGGCTTATTTCTACTTCAGGGCCTTTGCATGTGCCTTTGTCTGCAGCAGGATCTTCTGTCCAGTTTTAATCCACCTGGCTCAGCTTTTCCTCCTAAGACAAGCTTTCCCTGACCACCGGTCTGAAGAAGGTCTTCCCTCATCAAAGTCTGACTTTTACCTGTTTCCTTCACTATTTAATCACCATGATGCATATATCGTGTTAATTTAATTACCCGTTTATTACCTTGTTAACTTACTGATCTGTACATTCTAGCAGGCAGGGACGGCATTGGTACAGCGCCCACCACCACATTCCAAGAACTTGTGCCCACCCACCAGAGCAGGCGCTCATTGGACCGATGAAGGGAGAGTGGACCAATCAGAAAGGAGGGGGCGGGGCAGGCTTCCGAAATCAAATCACTGCCCGATGTCCTGATTGGCCCCTCCGCCGACTCACCATCTTTGTATGCAGCCACCAGCTGGTGCATCTGCTCATTGGTCCGGGAAGCCAAGATCTCAATGAGGCACTTCTCATCGGTACCAATGCCCTGGAGAAGAGATGGGGCGTTAGTCCGGATGAGGCCAGGAGGCCACCAGCACTCTCTCCTCAGCTCTTAGACACCATGTGGGAGCTGCTGCCTGAGTCTCAAAAGACATGGGTTCTAGTCCCGCCTCTGCCAGCAGCTTGTGGCTTCTCCTTAAGAAGCCTGATCTTAATATTTTTTGCACCCTGAGAACAAGATGGTCCAGCTCTGGTGGAGCCCGCTGTGGGAATCCGCCCCAGGCTCTGATTCTTGGCACAGCTGCACAAGCCAACACAGTCTGGTCGGGAAATACGTCCTCAGTGAGTGTCACAAGTGTTTCTGTCAGTAGGGGTAGCTACAGGCTTTCGCTAATAATGATCTTACTTGAATGGACAACCCCAGACATCCTCCCAGGGGAAGAGACCATGGCAGCTCTTTGTACACGAAAGGTAAAAATCTGAGGGAAGACATGGATACCACCTCAGTTTGCTCACACCATCCGTGAGATGCAGCTGCTACTAGCCGCTCTGCCAAACCCTGAGGCAGGAGGTGACCCCCCGCAGTGGAGGGTATCAGTTTAGAGCTGGATTCGTGCTGCATAGATTGTCCAAGACCACAGCCCGTGATAAAGGCCCAGCTAGGATCAGGGGCTATAGTCTCTGCCTCCTTCCTAGACACAAGGCTTCTCCTCAACCACAGTAAACCCCGGACCCGGCCTCAAACCCTCCCCATAACCTCTCTGGGTGTCCCCAGAGCGAGCTGGGAAAGACCTCTGGCTCCTACCTGCCAAATCCTCCCTAGACTGGTGACTCAGCTCGATTCTCTCACCTCCCAAATGCCCCCAAGCCTGCCCAGAGCTGGGTCCCACCCACCGCCGCTGCCCCACTTCAGTGGGCCCCGCCCATCTTTGGGTCCCTACATCCTGCTGCTCTGGGGCCCTAAGCTCCTGGGGATCCGTGCCTGGTCTCTGCCCAGCCCTGACTCCTGTCAACATCTGTCCGTGTGGGTAGAGGGGGCACAGCTCCTGGGTGGTTCCAGGGCTCCCTGGAGAGCCTGGGGTCTTCCCATTACCAATGTCCTTTGTCCCCAACACACACACACACACACAGACACACGGACACACACACTGCTTACAGAGATGGCGTCTTTAATTTCTTTGGCGTCACAGTAGGCGAGTGGCCTCATAAGGCCCACAATCAGCCGCTCAAACTTCCCTGTCAGTTCATACTTCAGGTCAGCGATGAGGTCCTGGAGTCAGGAAGAGAGGCACAGCCCTGAGAACTGCACTGAATGAGCTTTCACTCTCACAAGCACCAGGCCCAGCTTGCTGGTCGCTGTTCCTGGAGGTGCGCATTGTGATTGGCCTGGGAGACTGCCCAGCCACCTCAGGGAATGCCCAGAGTCCCACAGTGGGCACAGCGCCCCTTCCCTGGCTCTGCTGGCCTCCCTGCTCCTGTGTCCCCTTCCCTCCCACAGAGTGGACCCAGTTGCTTGTGCCCCAGTGCGGCCTAACACCTGGAGTACAGCAGTACCCTGGCTGTATCTGAGGCTAAAAGAACAGAACCTGCCCCTGCAGGTGTCAGACACAAGAACAAAAACATGCAGGAAGAACCTGGATGAACACCCAGGTGAGGTGAGTGACATCCTCCCGTCGCCCCCTGCCTGCCCTCTGGTTGCCATGGTTACCTTGCCATAGAGTGACTTGTAGCTCTGGCAGATCTCCTGCCTCTGCCGGTTGCTCCGGGAGGTGATCAGGTCCAGTATGGCCTCCTTGTCACTGCCTGGGAGACAGGAGGGCATCCACCGTGCTACCCACGCCACCTCCAGGAAGCCCTCCTGGGCACTTCCTTCCTGGGCACAGCTCATGGGCCCATGGAGTCCCCACTGAGAGCCACAGCACAGACACCTGAGCTCATAGGACCCCCGATCTAGCTCCTCACTGTACAGATAAAGAAACTGAGGCCCAGAGAGGGTCTCGCCCCCACTCTTGCAGGAAGCCCAGCTTAGAAAACCCTGAGTCCTAACACTAGTACAGGGCTCTGTCAGCCCCGAGAAAAGTACAAGAGAACAGTCAGCTCTGGTCCAGGGTCACAGAGACGCCAGGAAAGGCGTCAACTACGCGGAGGAAGAACTGGTTCTGAAGCTGCAGGTGGCCAGTCTGGGCTCTTGTCCGTACACCTTTTGTTGGCATGAAATGATTTCTTTCTTTTTTCTGGGAGGGGACAGGGTCTCACTATGTAGTTGAGACTGACCAGGAAGTCACCATGTAGCCCAAGCTGGTCTCGAACTCACAGTGATCCTCCTGCCTCAGCCCCCAAGTGCTGGGATTACAGGCATGCGCCACCATGCTGGGCTATGCAATGATTTGTTACAAAAGCAGGAAAAACAAAAAGAGGGCGAGAACTGGATGAGCCTAGTGTGTGACTCACACTAGAGCACTTGCCGAGTGCACTGAGGCTGTGTGTTTGTCCCAGTGGGACACACGCACACCCGCAGGGTATAGTTCACCTTCCCCACCCAGCCCGCAGGGCGGCACCCACCGAAGCCCTTCATGGCGGTATACAGAGCCTCAGCGTCCTGGCCGGGGTCGAAGTCCGGGTGGTCGTGGATGGAGCCCCGGAACCTGGCGCCCTGCAGGGAGGAGAGTGGAGGACGAGGTGCTGAGCGCGGCCAGGACGTGCGTCAGATCCCTCACCATGGCCCTGGCTAAGCTCAAGCGGGCACAGAGGGCGCTGTACACTGCTGCTGCGCTCAAAGAACAGTGCCACCTCCCAGGGTGGCTGACAACAGCCGCACCACCTTCACCCCAGAGATGAACAGCCCGGCTGGGCGAGGGGAGGAAGACGACTGTAGAGAAACCCCAGCCTCGGCTGTTTTCATGTGCTTCACAGTGTACAAAGCCTTGTCATCCCCCACTAACTTGATTGCTTTAACATTTGCTGGAGTGCTTAAAATTTCTTTGGGGGGTGAAATTCAGGATTGAATCCAAGGGTGCTCTATCACTGAACTCCATCCCTACCCTCTTTTTATTTTTTAATTTAATTTAATTTTTTTGGTATAGGGGATTGAACTCGGGCCCTTGGGCCTGCAAGGCAGGTGGCGGAACCACTGAGCTAAATCCCTGGCCCCGTACCTTTTTTTTATTTTTACTTTGAACAGGATTTGCTAAGTTGCGCAGGCTGGACTTGAACTTGTGATCCTCCTGCCTCAGCCTCCTGAGTATCTGGGAATGTAGTTGTGAGCCACCACACTGGGTTTAACATGATCTTGGTCTGAGATGAAGCAGCCAAGCACAAAGAAGGAAAGCCAGCCAGGTGTGGAGGTGGAGGCCTGTTATCTCAGCACTATGGAGGCTGAGGCAGGAGGATTGCTTCGAGTTTGAGGCCAGCCTACAAAGTGAGGTCAAAGCCAGTCTGAACTACTTAGTGAGACTCTGTCAAAAAAAAAAAAAAAAAAAAAAAAAAAAAAAAAAAAAA